ATTTATGTCTCTTCCTAAAACTTGGGTTCCCTTACCTTCTAGTTTCAAATATTATTAAGATTTTGTTCCCTATCTTAAATTTTCAGAGACCCACAGCTGAAGTTAAAGAAACCCAATACTCTGTTAAAAAAAAAAAACAAAAAACAAAAAAACTAAGTTAGCACGGCCGGGCATGGCTCAGCAGTTGAGCATCGACCTGGGATCCACGCGACTGGGGTTCGATTCCTGGTCAGAGCACATGCCTGGGTTGCGGGATCCATCAATGACTCATCATTGATGTTTCTATCTCTTTCCCTCTCCTTTCCTCTCTCTGAAATCAATAAAGATATTTAAAAAAAACACACAAAAAAACTAAGTTAAAAACTGGAAATACTATTTTGGTTGCAATGAGCATTTGAAGTACATTTTAAAGTTCTTACATTAAAAAGAGGAATAAATTGGGAAGGCTGAGCTCAGAGAAAATAAATAAAATGGTCACTGCTCATGACAATGATCCAATACTGCAAATGATGCAGTTTCCTCACAGAATGAGAATTATTAAAAACACAGCAGAGGCCCTGCCAGTGTGGCTCAGTTGGCTGAGCATCTTCCCATGCACCAAGAGGCTGCCACTTTGATTCAGGTCGGACCTGGGTTGCAGGCTCAATTCCCAGTAGGGGGCATGCAGGAGGCAGCTGATAGATATTTCGATGTTTCTATCTCTCTCTCTCTCCTTTCCTCTCTCTCTAAAAACCAATAAAAAATATATTAAAAAAAACACAGCAGAGAAAATATTTTTATTTGGAGAGAATACATGGAAGATATTAGTTACACTGTACAGTGTCAGAAAAAGAATTCTTTTAAAAGCTGTTCTTTTATGACTGCAAGTTATAATTAGTTGCATTATAAGTAAACCCAGTAGTTAAGAGTGGGTAGATTTTCGTCTTTGAGTGTGCACAGAGAAAAGATGACCAAGGTATTACATGAAAAAGAGCCAGTTGCAGAAAATGTGCAGTAGGATCTTATTTTTGTTACTATTAATTTTTTAAACAGTTATTCACTTCATATTCTACACTTATTGCAGTATTTCTCCCAGCTATATTCTCGCACACGGTGATGCCCCAGAGAAGTTTGTCAAGTGAATGACTAAACGGCTGAATCTATCTTTTAAAATGAGCATGCATTGTAAAGAAGAAGGATCTCGTACCCTTTGGGACAGCATAGATGGACCTGGAGAAAATTATGCTAAGTGAGATAAGTCTGGTAGACAAAGACAAATGTCACATGATCTTGCTTATATGTGGAATCTAAAAAACTTAATAAACTGATGAAGAGAATAGATTCAATGACAGGGAAGCATGGATCAGACTGATGAATGTCAGAGGGATGGAGGAGGGCGGGTGGGTGGAGGGGGAGAGAGTAACCAAAGAATTTATATGCATATATGCACAACCCAAGGACACAGACAATGGTGGGGAGAGGGACTGGAGGGAGGGGACGGGGTGGAATGGGTCACTGGGGAGAAAAAGGGATATTTGTAATATTTTAAACAAAAATAAAATAAAATACAATGAGCATGCGTGACATTTGTGTTAAAACCATTTTTTCTCTTTAAGAATACAATGAGATCTTTGGAGAATTCTAGAAGACCTGAGCTGAAAACTTATTAGAGGATTTACTAAAAGCATAATTATTCTCACACAACTACAAAGTTTAATACTGCAAAACTCTGGCTAATAGAAAAGCCTTAAAAAATTATGAACTGCAGCAAAACCTAATTATTGACAGACACAAAAGCTCACAATTTTGTCTGTTTTTCTTAACTGTGCAGCATAGAAATCCTTTTAAAATGGTTTATATATTGGAGCAACGTATCTTTTCTTCAATATGGTATGGACATAAGACTGGAAGCCTGCACCTGGTTTCTCCTGGATTCTGCCCTATGTACCTTTACCTTTGTTGATTTTAATCTGTAATTATTTGCTATAAAAACAAAAACAAAAACCTGTCACTGTGAGTACATAAGCTTTTCAGAGTTATGATTCCTCCCAGTGAACCATGGAACCTGAGAATGGTCTTGGCAACCCCAACAGGGGATCATTATTAGAACATTTTCCCCTATGCTTTAAATTCTGTAATGTCTTTGGCTTATATTAACATTTACTGTTCCATGATCTACATTCCATGGTTACTGATTATCATGTATTTTCTTGGCAGTTAAAAATTTCCATCAATACTTTAATCAAAGACTCCTCTGGGAAGGAGGACCTAGGACATAAGTCTTTCTCAGATAAAGCTTTAATTTTACACCCTTTCCAAAGACGTCAAGGGCTCAAAGCTAATGCTTCTTTCATTCACATTCAAAATGGCAGAGATTATGTATTGTCTACCAGAAGAACAATTTCTTTCCAACTGAAACTCATTCACACTATAGCATTTCTTAAACCAACTAGGACTTTACATGTTGAATCCTTTAACTCTACTAGCAGAACAATGGTTCACCTCCTCACCTTGTTATGAGTCTTAGATATCCACAAAAAGGTGGCATGATTGAAAAATGAAATAGCCCCTGAAAACATAATTGATACTTTTTAGTAAAAACACAATTTACATTTAAAAAAAATATGTTTTCATTTTTAGGGAGGGGACACAGAGAGAGACATCGACTGGTTACTTCCTGCACTCCCCCTACTGGAGATTGAGCCTGCTACCTGGGTATGTGACCTGACCAGGAATCAAACCAGTGACCTTTTGGTGCATGGGAAGAAGCTCAGCCAACTAAGTCACACAGGCCAGGGCATGATTTACATTTTTTATAAATTAATTTTAATGAGGATCTCTGCACAATGAGGGTCCAGAGGCTACAAGCAGTGGAGAATTCATAGGTTGCCTACCTCCTAACCTTCCGGTCCCATCACCCTTCACTTTACCTCACCCCTGTCTGGAAAATCTAACACACATTTTATGTTCATGACTATTTAATTTTTTTTTAATTATCCTCCCCTCCCTGGACATCGTCAGTCTTTCTGCTTCTAGCTATGAATTCCTGGCAAAACAGACCCTCAATAATGTCCAGCAAATTGTCTATGTCTATCTTACCTCCTTCTAATTATCTGAAACTATTTCAAACTTTCTCCTTTCTGTGACACACCAATACCACCTTCCTGTTCACCCTCATAATTTCACATACGGTATTCACAAAGAAAACAAAACCAAAGGAAAACTCAATTGCTTGCAACTAAACCTAAACCCACCAGATCAGCACCCATCACTTGTTCTTTCCCTCCCTGTTAAAATGCAAGGAGTCCATTTTCCTGCTTAAGGTTAATTTCTCCACTTAAACCCTGCAGCTCAATTCTTTCACCTCCTTAGGGCTGTCTCCTCGATTGAGATTTGTCTTCCTTTCCTTAATCTCTCTCTCTAGTAGTCATTAGGCTATTGATCAATCTTCTGGCTTGCTTCTTTGGAGATAATATGGTAGAACTGCATTCTCCCACCCCCAAATTAAGCATGGCCATGACCTACTGGCCAGACAAACATGAATGGGAGTCTCCAAGAATCTGGGGCGATTTACTCTGCTCCCTCCAGGCTGCCACCAAAACCAGCTATGCTCTAAATGGGTGGAGGCTCTAGGAGCCTCATTCTCATAATGAAGGCTCTCAATTGAATTGAGATGGTCAAGTAGTATGAGTAGAAAAACAAACCTTTGTTGTTGTAAGACATTAAGATTTGGGGGATGTTTACTACTGCATCATGATTTGGTCTACTCTGAAACGCTTCCCCTCTCCACTGACTCCATAGCATCAGTACATGAACAATGTCAAATGTCTTCACTTTTAAAACTAAAACAAACCAAAAAAATCCTCTCTTGAAATCCATCCCTATCAGCTATTGCCCGATTTTTCTTCCTCTTTGCCCTTGAAAGGGCTCCACTTCTTCATCTCTCCTTCACCAGCCACCCCACTGTGACCTGGTTGTTATTTCCACCACTTCATAGAAAGGGCTCTCATCAAGGTTACCAGTGACCTTGTTGCTAAGTCCAACAGACATTCTGAGCTCTTACCTTACTTAACATCTGTACAGCGGTTGCCACTACTGATTACTTTCTCTTTTTTATATACTCTTTTCAACCTTACACAATACTCCTGGATTCCAAAACAAGACCTATATCCTTATTTGTCTCATCTCTCGGTGCCCCTTCCTAGATTTTTTGGCCAGCTTCTCTTCCTTGGGCTGTCGCTTACATTTTCTTGTCCTATGTTGTAGAGCCTAGTGATCTGCAGACCAGCAGCACTAACATCTGGGAACCTGTCAGAAAAGTAGAATCTCTGACTCCAGCCCAGTTTACACTGTACAAGATGTCAGGTGATTCCTATGCACAAGTGTGAGGAGCAAGTCTACAGAATTCAGCCCTGCGCCCGCTCCTCACCATCCAGGTACTATCCGTAAGCCCACAAAACTGCCCAAACATACACGCTTTGCTATCTTTCAAGTTTCACCTTAAGGGTTATGTGCTCTTAAAAATCTTCCAGAATCCTCCTAGTTTGAGTTAGATGACTTCTTATTGTAATACTTTAACACTGTATTATAACCATCTATAGATCCTAATATACCACAATCTCTGTAAGGTAGGAACTGTATCTATCATATTAATACAGCGCCTATGACACTCATTCAAATATATTAGATTCTCAATAAATATTTGTTGAAAGAGTAAGAGCGCATCATTAGACTATATTCACTTGGCAAACACAGACATTCCTTAAACAGTAAAAGCTAAGGACATTCTGACTAGGGAGCATCACATATAGCTGAAGGTAGTCAAAGAGGCAGGGTGAGCCAATTATTAAACAATGCTCATTATTTAGATAGAGAAAACAGAGAGAGGCATTTTAGAGAGTAGAATGGTATAAGAACTGTAAGAAATAAGCAAAAATTAAGAGTATGTTTACAAAAGCCATAATTACATCAGATTAAGGACTGAGGTCAAACAGGTAAGTACATAGAAGGAAATCTGTGTTGTTGAAGCCAGATTACCAAGATTCCTGGGAAACATGTTAGGATGCCACTGAAATGTCTTAGACTGAGACATTAGAAGCCATTAATCTGGCTTCTAATCTCAAATTGTGAGCTAGAGAATGAGATGATCGACTTTTTGCTTTAAAAAGCTCACCATAAGTGGCTCTACAAAGGACAGCTAGTGGAAGCTAGAAGACCAGTAAGAAGGCCAAGAGCTGAAAACAAAATAGTGGCTTGACCTATGGTAATTGCTGTGATTTGTTATGGGATAGATAAGAAAGGGGAACAGACAGATTTGCTTAATGAGAAGAATCACAGAGAAATCCCATTTTGGCCTTGGCAAGTGATGTTTACTAAAATGGAGAAGGTTTGGGGAGGGGCTGGAAATCAAAGTTCCATTTATAATGATGCATTACACAACTAGTTTCAGGTGAAAATAATAATGAACGATTATTTCTGATTTACTTAAACTGTTCATCCTTTTAGATCTTATTTTCCCAACTAGACTGTAAGTTACTTGAATATCACTTTTTCAGATCCCTACAGCAACATGCATAAAATCTTGTGTGAAACGGGTAAATAAAACTTGATAAGAGTTCTTAGAAAGTTACTGTGGGGTTGTGGCTGTTTCAATACTAAAAATGAAAGCTTGACTATTGTTCTGAACGATCCACATTCAAAACAGTGCTTGGCAGCTTTTATTCCCCACAAACCTAAATGTAATGCTGAAAATCGATAGTTTATACGGAGTTCATCAGGCAAAAATCTTAAATCAAAGTTACCATGATTATTCTAAGGGAAAGGATGGCCAGAGATACTATGACAGTGACACCCCAGTAAAGTTAATTTCGGTTGGAACCTGAAGTTAACATCTGCTTTGCCCACAATTACCGCGTCCTTAGGCAAAGCATACATTCTGCCCACATAAACCCTCACTGCTTGAGGAAGGATGCGCATGGCTAACGTTAAGCCATATAATGATCTTCCACAGGGAGCTTTAGCATAATACCTTTGCACTTCATACTCACTTCACAAAGCGCTCGCATCAGTTAAGAAACCAAGTTAAGAAACAAAGAAAAAACCCAAAGAAACAGGTAGGAGCGGCGGGGGAGAAAAGAAAGCTATCCTGCCTCATGCCCTTGCACCACCGAGTCTCAGGTTACCTCCTGCCTCTCGGCCTCCTTGTTCTTCTGTCCCTGTTTCTTCGCGTACCACAAGCCGATTTCGCGGCCTTTCAGGTGCCCCGGGTGCCGGCCTCGGCCTCCTCGACCACCCCCTCCTCCGCCGCCGCCGCCTCCGGAGCCTCGGCTCCCCCCGTGGCCCCCTCCGTAGCCCCCGCCGGAGCTGCGGGGCCCACCATCGCGGCCCCAGTGCTGATGGTAGTCATAGCTCATTGTTCCAGGGGACTACAACGCGTGAGAACCTGCAACTGACAGAAATGGCGACCAGGACCGGAAGCGAATACACATCCACTTCCGCTTTGTTTCCGGCGCCTAGCGCGAGAGGGCGGGCCCTTGAGCGTCACAAGCATCCGTTTCCGGTGACGTCGCGGGCACCCGGGCGGTTGGCTCCGGTGAAGCCCTATTAGACGTCGCCTCGGGAGGTTACCTCAGTTCGTCTGGAGGGAGAGCGAACGAAAGGCTCGCGGGTTTTCCTTCCCTCCGCCCAGCATGTGAGGAAATGGGTTTTACTTTCTTATTTTTCCTGGTAAAATTGAAGTTTGCGTCCGATTAGGTCCTGGAGAGTCAATATCGATTTGACAGTAAAAGAACCTGTGGGACAATGCATTCTCTCCTAAAAGTCCGTAAGGAAATAAAATGAGTTCAAAATCTCCCTCCCTCTCTCTGTCTCTCTGTCTCTCTCTCTCTCTGTCTCTCTCTCTCTTGTGCTACGTCTTGGAAATAGCCTGGCACCTGTTTCAAATAAGTATAAAAACGTCCCTGCCTTTCTAAAAGGATTATCATTACTGGCTATCTTTCTCCAGCAGCACAAGATGAGCATGTCTACCCAAATTCAGTACCGAGCAGTGAGGCAATTAAATGAAACATCAGTTGAAGATTCAGATGTTCATATGAAGTTATCTGTTGCTGATTGACCAGGCCTCTGTGTGTCTCGCTGTTCTTGAATAATCGGTGTATTTACACGTTTAACTGACCTAAAGGCACTGGGGATCCTGAGTAAGACAAGGAGGGCGTCAGCTTTCCTTGGTGTGCAACCTTGAGGAGATAAAGGCTTAAAAAATCAGCGTGCGGTGAGGTAAGAGAGGAAAATGCTATATGCCAAGAAGGGGTCCAGAATACTACCTCAGTGGCAAAAAGTAAAAAATAAAAATAAATACTTTGAGCAGAGGGACGTGATTACCTGAGATTGCTTATCTGCCTAAAAGCAGAGCCTCCCAGAAGAACTCACTTTTCCCACAGCCCCTCCTGAGGGAGGAACCAGGGTAGACTGACTCTTACTAACACGCCGCCGGAGGCTAGAATTCAGCACCGCGCCTCCACCGACGTTCTCACAGAGCCGCATCTTCCATTTATCCTCACAAGAGCCCATTTATCTTCCCTAAGAGTCCTTTGCTTTCCCACAAGTACCTTGTTTCCTCTTCTTCCTCTGTTAAAATGCCATTAAGCTCCAAGTTCTAACTCCCTCCTTGGGTCACATTTTTCTGTGAACTTGCTCAGGTGTGACTAAATCTGCGCTCTTGCTTCTCTGTCTTCCGTTAGTTTAATTTGCAGCCCCCCGCCCCCCCCCAGAACTAAACCTAGGAGGGTCAAGGAAAAGTTTTACTTCCCCAACAACCATGAGATGTTACAGCAAAAAGGATTTATTTAGGAGTCAGATAAGTCCTTACTGAGATGTCTAGAAAGCAGTTGGTTATATGAGTTTAAAGTGCAGAGAGAGCAGACTAAGATTATATATTTGGGAGTTTTTGGTAAATAGTAAGACCATCGGCATTAACAGCTCCAATTAAAGTACCCATTGGGCACACCTGATATGGCAGTATGTGAACTATTTAGTAGGTAAGATTAGGTAGGCATCTTGGGGGTGGTAGAGGAAAAGAGTGAGCACTGTTAGGTGAGAGTGCTGTGGACTGAATGTGTCCCCTCAGGCTCCATATGTTGAAGCCCTAACCCCCCGTGTGACTGTATTTGGAGATGTGGCCTCTAAGGATCTGATTAAATTAGATCAAAAAGGTGGGACCCCAGTCAGATAGGATTAGTGTCCTTGTAAGAAAAAGCGACAGAGAGCTTGCTCACTCTTTCCTCAGACGAAAGGTCACGCGAGGACAAAGCTGCTGTCTCCAAGCCAGGAGGAGAGCTTTCGCCAGGAACCGAACCTGCTGGCATCTTGATCTTAGACTTCCCAGCCTCCACAACTGTGAGAAACACGTTTCTGTTGTTATGTCACTGAGGCTTAAACCTGCGGTGTTTTTTATGGCAGTCTGAGCAGAGTAATGCAGACAGACAGTAACTGAGGAAGAGAGCTAGCATTTATTGGTTGCTTAGCATTTGCTAGGGAGGTGGCTAGGCGATGCACATTTGTGATTAGCCGACTAATGAGCTCTAAAGGTGTTCGCTCCTAATTTCTGAACTCTGTGAATGTGTTATGTCACATGGCCAAGGGAATTTAAAGTTGCTAAGCAGCTGACCCTAAAATGGGGATATTATCCTGGGTTATCTGGATGGGCCTGGTAGTAATGAGTCCTTCAGAGTGGGAGAGGAAGGCAGAAATGTGATGTGATATGAGGATTCAGCCAGCTGTTGCTGGCTTTGAAGATGGAAGAAGGGGACTACGAGCCAACTAGAACTGGAAAAGGAAACATATTCTCTGGCAGGGCCTCCAGAAAGGCTTATGCTGCCAGTGCCAGTGAGGACCCTTGTCAAAGCTTCTATGCCACATAACTGAAAGGTAGTTAATTCATGTTAGTTAAGACGCAGAGTTTGTGATAATTCACTGTGGCAGCAATAGAAAGGTAATGACAGTCAGTCCCTATATTTCACACAATCCTCGTAAGAACCCCAGAGAGAGGTCATGTTCTTTCTTTTTTTCTGAGGAATTATATTATTTCTCTTTACCTCATGTTTGTTGATCCTAAACAGAATCTTAGTTATGAATTTTAAATTACTAATTTTTCCTGATGTCTTCAGCTTGTAGTACAGTATTGACTGAAGCTATTGCATTAGGTAGACACTTAGCACAGATGTCACTGTGGTAAAGATCTACACAGAAGGATGATTTTCAAGGAAAGATCAGAAAGATATTGGTCAGAAGAAGAAAAGTATCATTTGTTACTTGGGTTTTATTAATTTTTTCCTGCTTTGGTTGGAACCACAAGAATTCTTAGGTTACCTAATGACAGAAAACAAATGGTGTGACTGGTTTATTATAATTGTCATTGTTACTGTTACTGGTGCTCTGCCAATGTTTGTGTACACTGGGCAGGCTAAAAGATGTCTCTCTCAAATGTCCTCACCACTGATCATTTGTTTTCAAACCCACAGAGTTTGATATCTAACTTCCACAGGTATCCACCTCCCAGTCTAGCCACCTCTAAAATGCAGCAAGGGTGGGCCACACAAGACCACACCACTGTGGGAAACTATCACAGGGTTCCCAGTCTCGGGGAATCGCTTATTCTTCATCTTCTTTTTCCCAACCCTGTGAAACACTTCTTGTGTAATTTTTCATGGGTCTAACATTCATGAAGGCCTGGGGATTTCTTTAGTGTTCCTTTGGAAAATGGAACCCTTAATTGATTCTTACTTCCTCTTTGGGCAGTGAGAGGAGAGGATATGTTGATATAAGTTAATTGTAGACCTCTATAGAATATAAAGATCTGGCTGTGTAAGGATGGGAAGGGGGAGAAAATGTTTATTTCTTTCTTATATCGGGAAGAATATGAAAGAACTTATTAAATAACTCAATAGAGTATCTTGTCATACAAAATTTTTTAACTCAAATTGGAAAAGTTTGTTTACACTGAAAATGAATTTGTAGAGAGTGACTCTTCTTAACTATAATTTATAGTAAAATTGTAGATTTATGTAAAATACAACTGAGATGGGCAAAGAAAATGTAAGGGGGGATGTTGTTTATTATTGATCCAATCTCTACATTTCCTCCTTACTAGGCATTAAAGAAATAGAGGGGACATCATAAAATTGGCAGCTCATTTTTTGTTTGTTTCAGGTAATTATGAAGTTCCACTCTCTCTTAGGCCTTTTTCAGTCTTTTTTTCCCTCTCTGCAATGGGATAACTTGATAACTGGGAGCTGGAATCATTTGCACACATCTTCACTCAAATATCTGGTAGTTGATGCTGGTTTGGAGCTGGAACCTTGCTTGGCTGGCTATGGGTTGAAACACCTACAGGCAGCCTCTCCATTTGGTTTCTATGTGTGGCATAGTTTCAGCCTCCTCACAGAATAGCAGCTGGGTTCCAAGAGCACATGTCACATAGCAGGGTCACATTATGATAAACTGGCCTCGGAAGCCATGTCCACTATACTTTATGAGTTGAGTCAGTTACAGGTGTCCCTCCAGGTAAAAGGGCAGTTAGGCTTCACCACACTACGGGAGGAGAGCCAAAGTCACACTGTGAGAAAACCGTGTGGGATGGGAGATATTGTGCCTATCTTTGGAAGATACAGTCTGCTATACGTGCTAACTCAGACCCTCTCCAAAAACATGTTACACCACCATTATGATAGTTTTACAGACTTTTCCTGTTGCATCGCAGGCACTCCTGCTGTTGTCCATGTGACAACCAGAAGTAGGAAAAGGAATGATAATACTATAGGTAGCATTTAATGAGAGCTTATTTCATGCCAGGTTACTATAAGTAGGTACTATTTTTTCTCTGTTTTACTACAGTTAGGCCAAGAAACTCAAGGAACAGAAAGACTGAAAAGAATGAGACCTCTCCAAGGAAAGAATACCACTCTTACTGACCCAGTTCATAGAAATAATGCAGTCTTATGAAAGTGAGAAAAAAAACGGGGTATCTGGATGTTACTTTTGCCTCCTTGCTTTATGAAGCTTCCATTTTCAATCACGAAAGCCTCAATTTATTTATTTATTAGAAATATTTTAAAAATACTAAACGGATATATTTTTAATCCTCTCACATAAGCCAAGCGCCCCAGTAGACATTTCACAGTTATAACTCCAGGGCAGGGACAGAGTGAAGGTTGCCTCAGGAAGGGTGATACGAAGAAATGGAAATCTCTGCTCATGGGAAATAGAACAGGAAGGTCTGATTGTCATGAGAGTGGGAGAGAAAGGAAGGGAGATGTATTTGTATTGGGACCTCCTTCCCCCAGCTCAGCTTTCACCACATATCCTGCTTAGAGCTTTGCAAGCAGACCATATTTTGAAACTATATATATATATATATAGTTTCAAAAAATATATATATGATCGTATAATCTCTGGTTATAGATTTTAGGATTTTAGTCTGTC